GAATGGCTAGAGGGGTGTGTGAGCTTAGAGATACAGAACACTCAGCCGCACCATGATGCCTACCTTAGCATATTAGAGTATTTATATGTCTTCATACCTATACCTCCACATGCACATTTAATGAATACATGTAGTACAATATAGTTATTACTGAGGCACTAAGCTCGTAAGCTCAACTTTTGAAATGTGTTTCTATGCGCAAGTTCTTAGAAGACCATTCGTGGGGAGTTATCATCAACAAGTATTCTAGCACAGCCGAGGCATCAATGTACGTCTTGATTTTTATTAGAGAGCATGTACTATTGTATATCCTTTTGTAATATGTCGTAACTCTATTTTGATTTAAACTCCATGTATTTATTTTGTATGTTTTTGGGAGCTCCCTCATACTTGTAAACTCAGTTTTATTATGACTTTTATTTATCAATATGGATGGATTATTCTATAATGATTACATTTTTTTTAAAAGAAAAATTTTGGGTTAGCCACTTGGTGGTCGTGTGACATCGTAAACCATGGATCTTTAGGTCTAACTGGATTAGGGTGTTACAATTAATGGTATCAGACTATCAAGTTTAGGCATTCCTAGGACCCACAGGTTAGTGTAAGTCAGTATATGTACATGTACATGCCTCTAGAGAGTCAATAGTACAATAAAGACTGAAATGAAGATAATAGCCTCAATTTGTTTCTAATTTCAGAGATAACCCATGGTTGACGATCAAACTTATAGTCAAGATGGTAGAGACGAGAGTCATGCCTCATTAACAATCGAAACCAGTGACGAGTTCATCCTGTATATGAATCAGTTGAATATTCCAGTAGATGCAAGGGTCAAGGAAGTGACCTTCTTTAAAGATCTGACCTCATTACTTAGGCAGATCGTTAGGGCCATACCTAGTGCCTCAGTCGTACCACCTTCCCCACCAACACCTTTAGCTCAGCATACAGTAGTACATAAAGAGTTACTAGTAGAGATACTCATCCGATATAAGACCACTGACTTTCACAGTTTAGGAGATGACGATCCTATAACAATATAACAGTGTCCTAAGGAGACTCTCCGCACTATTCGATAGTTCTACTTTACCCCAAAGGGTCAGCTTGAGTGCGTCATTGCCCTACTCAAGGGCGATGTCATAGGTTGGTGGAAGAATATAGAGATAGAGTTGAAGCAGAGAGACCGTCTTGGGAGTAGTTCATAAAAAATATTGTCAGAAATACATCGGTGAGGCTTACACCGATCACTTGAGGGAACAATTCCAACAGTTGACTAAGGGGGATCAGAATGTGATGGAGTACAAGATGGAGTACCTCAGATTGAATAGATATGCTCTAGAGTTAGTTAAACAGAGGAACACCATTGTCATAGGTTCAGAGAAGGTCTGCACTTCAACATTCTGTCACACCTAGCAGTCGACCCTCCCAGGATTTTTGTTAAGTTGTCTCGTTAGACAAAGACAGTTGAGAGAATCCTGAGTAGGAAGGCTAGATAGTCTATTAAGTCTGTGGAACAATCTAGGAGAGTCACTAAGTCGACCAAACCATTGCAGACTCTGACTAAGAGGGTCTGAGATAGCTAGGGTTCATGAAGACCTCTAGCAGCACAGTCATGAAGAACTGGTCAGAGTTTATATCGAAGGGGTAGATTCAAGTATAAGAGGAGACCCCTGAACTTAGTCTTCAGAGTTAGCATTAGTGATTCAGCAAGAGTCTTCACTCATCCGATATGTGTTTAGTACGGGAGTAGACACCCGGGGACGTGTAGTATGGATCTAGGGGTTTCTTCAATTGTATTTCCTTAGACCACTTTGCCAGAGTTTGTCTGGGGATTTAGGCAATGACTCCGACATCGACCCATATATCAACACCATCTGTATAGAGAGGCTGAAGGCCAGTAAGAAGTGGTAGCATTGCATTTGGATAGTAGAGTAGAGGGGAAACCTTATTAGTGGTCAGTGCAGAGCCGAGGGTAGCCTCTAAAAAATATGCGATGAGACCCTAGGAGGAGTGTGATGCAGCAGACATGATATCAGGGACATTTATAGTATTTTCGATTCCAGGTACTATATTAATAGATGTTGGTTCCACCCACTCGTATATCTGCTCTAACTTGATTCAAGAGATAGAAATTCTAGCCAAAGACTTAGATGTAGGAGTTCGAGTATCGAGCCCTATAGGTCTAGATGTTCTAGTAGACAAGATTTACCAGAGATGTATAGTAGAATTCAGGGTCAGACTTTCCTAGCAAACTTGATGGAGTTACCCTTCTGCGAGTTTGACACGATCTTGGTTATGGATTGGTTAACCAAGCATGACTTCAATTTAAAGTGTAAAGTCAGATAGCTTAAGCTCAGGGCAGATGATTGTACCAAGTTAATGATGACCAGTGAGAAATCAGGCCAGTCAAATATTGTGGCAGCTATAAAAGCCTAGAGGATGATCGACCGTGGATGTGAGACCTTCTTGACTCATGTGTTCAACAACCAAATTTCAGTTCCAATACTCGAGGATATCCGAGTAGTGATAGATTTCCCTGATGTGTTCCTAGAAGTGTTGTTGGGTTTACTGTTTCGATCGTGAACTAAAGTTTAGCATTGAGGTAATGTCAGGTTCAGCTCCGGTATCCATTGCTCCCTAACACATAGAAATAACAGAATTGAAAGAGTCAAAGGCTCAAATTCAGGATTTGTTAGATAAGGATTTCATTTGACCAAGCATCTCACCTTGATAAGCACCAGTCTTGTTTATCAAGAAGAATGATGGGAGATGAGGTTGTGCATCGACTATAGGTAGTTGAACAAGGTAACCATCAAGAACCGTTACCCCACTTCCTAAGATAGATGAACTCTTCGACCAGCTGATAGGAGCATGTGTGTTCTCCAAGATTGACTTACAATCAGGTTATTATTAGTTGAATGTAAGGATAATTGGGATAATGTTCATCAATTGTAATATAAAATTTAGTTTTAATTTTCGTATAAAATTTTCGTTTATTTACTTCTCATAAATTATTAAAATTATTATTGATGTAACACACTGTTAAACATCATTAATTATAATAACTTTTAAATAATTATTGAAAATCTCAAAGGCCCAGCATGTAATTAATCATATTTCAAAATAAAATTAAAAGAAATTATTTCATGAACAATTCTTATCACATCAACTTTATTTTCCACATAATATTTCCTTATAAATTAAGATTTACAAATCATCGTCTTCTTCTTCGTACCTTATATACTAATTCTAATATGTTAATTAGTAAAATCACTAAAATAAAAAAAATCCAAAAGATTAGAATTATAAATATATAAGTTTAAACGACTTCGATGGAGGTGAGGCCTCGTCTTGGTAGCCAACGGCTTCCATGGTTTTATCAGTTTCTTGGGTTCAAACAAATATGTTAATCGTTTTTTAATGTAGTAGAATTATTATTATTATTATTATTATTTTATTATTATTATTATTATTATTACTATTATTATTATTATTATTATTATGAGTTCCTAGTGATGTCGTTTGGACTCATCAACACCCTAGTGGCATTCATAGACTTAATGAACTGAGTCTTTCAACCATACCTATATCAGTTTACAGTGGTGTTTATAGACGATATCCTAGTGTATTCCCGTTCAGAGGCTGAACATGATCAACATCTCAGCATCATCACTCAAACACTCTAAGACCAACATATGTATGCTAAGTTTGGGAAGTGTGAGTATTAGTTGCCAGAGGTTTCATGGTTGGGTCATGTTGTATCAGTAGAAAGTATTTAAGTCGACCCTTAGAAGATTTAGGCTATATTCGAGTGGGAGCCACCTAAGAATGTGTCAGAGGTATGCAATTTTCTAAGTTTAGATGGGTGCTATTATCGATTCATTGATGGCTTTTCGATAATGGCTTCCCCGTTAAACAAATAACTTCAGAAGGGAGTCCCCTTTGTGTGGGATGAGAAGTGATAGAAAAGATTCGAATAGGTGAAGACCATATTATCTCAGGCCCTAGTTTTGACCCAACTAGAGTCGGGTAAGGAGTTCACAGTTTTCAGTAATGCTTTTTGGAATGGTCTTGGATGTATCTTGATACAAGAAGACAAGATTATAACTTACATATCTCATCAGATTAAGTCAGATGAGTGTAATTATCCCACCTACGACATTGAGCTAACAACCATGGTATTTACCTAGAAGATTTGGTGACATTTCCTTTTTGGTAAGAAATGTCACATCTTCACATATCACTAGAGTCTCAATTATCTACTCAACTAAAAGAAGTTAAAATTGAGACAATGTATATGGGGCGAGTTACTTAAAGACTACGATTGTGTGATAGGCCACCATTTAGGTAAGGTAAACGTTGTAAAAAACACATTGAGCAGAAAGTCGAAGTAAGAGTTGTGAGCTCTCTTAGCAATGTTGAGCTTATCTAGTGAAGGTGCGTTGTTAGTCGAGTTGAAAGTAGAGCCTGAGTTAGGGGTGGGACCAAAATATTGAAAAGTCCAAATGATCATTTAAGGGCTCAGATTCGCTTAGGCAAATCATCAAGTTTTGAGTTGTGTAATGTGGATGTATTCTACTTTCAGGGTTGATTGTACTTACTCATAGATACTTGGTTGCGTAGTAAGATCCTCCATGAGACACATTATAGTCCACTCTTAGTTTATCTAGGTAGTAACAAGATGGACCAATAACTTTAATAATTATATTGGTGGTTGGGCATGAAAAGGGAAGTGTCAGAGGTTGTCGTTAGGTGCTTAGTGTGTCAACAGGTTAAGGCGAAACACTAGGTTCCATCAGGATTACTTCATCCCATTTAGATTTCTTAGTGGAAATGGGACAGAGTAACTATGGATTTTGTGAATAGGTTACCCATAATAAGATAAAGACACAATGCAATTTGGGTCACAATGGACCATCTGACCAAATCAACTCACTCCCTCCCAGTTATAATGAATTATACCTTAGAGAGGATAGTTCAGTTGTATATCCAAACTAAACTTTAGTACCACTTTTCACCCTCAAACAGATGGTCAGTTAGAACGTGTCATCCATATCTTAGAGGATATGCTTAGGTGTACTGTTGTAAATTTTGAGGGTGGTTGGGAGGACCATCTGTCGTTAGTGGAATTAGTATACAATAACTTTTAGTCAAGCATTCAAATGGCTCTGTTTGAGGCCTTGTATGGGCGCAAGTGTAGGACTCCACTATATTGGATAGAGCTTAATGATGGTAAGATAGTGAGGCCAAACTTGATCAGAGAAACCTAAGATAAAGTTTGGTTAATTTAGAATCAGTTGTGAGAAGCTTCAGATAGGCAGAGATCCTATGTAGATTTAAAGTGCAAGGATGTAGAATTCTTAGTGGGGGATAAAGTGTTCCTCAAGGTTCCCCATGGAAGAAGGTGTTTTATTTTTGTCGTAAGGGGAAGTTGACCCCGCGCTTCATAAGGCCTTACGAGGTACTAGATAGAGTTGGACTAGTAGCTTACGGGTTAGCTTTACCACCAGAGTTGGAGCGCATTCACAATGTATTCCATGTGTCTATGCTTAGGATATATTATTTCAATCCATCACATGTCATACCCTTAGAATAGATTGAAGTGAGCTTATACATGACCTATGAAGAGGAACCAATCAGAATCTTAGTAAGAGATGTAAATAAGCTAAGGAACAAGATGATTCCTTTAGTGAATGTGTTATGGAGGAACTATGGTGTTGAGGAAGCAACTTGGGAAACTAAATAGGATATGCAACTTCAGTACCCTCACCTATTCTATTCAGGTAAATTTTGAGGACGAAATTTCTATTTAGGAAGAGATAGTTATAACACCCAAATCTCAAGTTAGTAGTTTTGGGTTAACCCGAGTGGGTTTAGATTAATCCATTAGCACTATAAGAGGATTTGGACCAAGTTAGCCTTGGTTTTGGGCTTGGTTTGGCCCAACATGTGATAAAAAGGGTGTTTTTAAGAGGGGATCAAAACTTAAAGGACCAAGGAAGAAGTTTACTCATTTTTTTATGAAATACTAAAAATCTTTAATTGATTGATGATCTCACGTTGTCTCATTCTCTTTTTTTCAACTCTTATTTGTCTCTTCTTCTCGTCCTTCATCCTTCATTTCCTCTCCACCTAGAACCAACAAAGGTGATAACTTGGTGGCCTTACAACCTTAAATTAGTAATTTAATGGTAAAAATCTTAATCCTCAACTTTAGAGCTTCAATCAAGCTCTCAACCTCTTCATTTCACCATGGTAGTCAAATATGGGTTTTAGTGGCATTTAGGAACCCAATGTAAATCAGCTCTTTTTTAAGGAACCAAGCCTTAGGAAGTGTTTGAATTCATTTATAGACTCCCAAACACGTTAGTAATCAATGTGTTTAATCCTTTCATATTGATAGAAGTTGGAGAAAGCTCCAAGACTAAGAGGATGAAAATGCTCACACTTTGATAAACTTTGGGAGTTCCAGTAACTTAGAATCCAAGGTAACACACTTCTAACTCAACTCTACCACACGTAGATCACTAGGTGATGTTGCATGAGTTACGAAGCATGTCCATTGTAGATTTCATCTTTTCATGTTTTCAACATGTTAAAAGACCTATTATGATCTCTTTTAACACACATAATATTTTAATAACATTTGGGGACCTCAGTAGGATGTTTATGAGTGTTGCGTAGACATTTTCATGCCATAAACAGGGTATTTATAGGCACGCGTATCGATACCAATGTAATGGGTATCGATACTGTAGGTAAGGCATCGATACTCACAGGGTGATATCGATTTTAGTTCACTTAGCAAATCTCAGTAGCCATTTTTTATATCGGTACTCATGGGAGTATCGATAACAAGGGTAGAGTATCGATACTCCCCAATAAAAGTATCGATACTTAGGTATTTTTCAAAACATTAAAGCCAAATTTGGTATCAGTACCCAAGAGAGTATTGATACCACAAACCAGAATTATTGATACTCAAGAAAGAGTATCAAATACCATCCATTTGTTATTAACCTTCAATATGTCAATGGTATGGATACCCAGAAGATAGTATCGTTACCCAGAGGCTAGTATTGATACTGAGGAGCTTAATACTAGTACCCATGAACATTTTGGGTAAGAAACACAAGGGCTTTAAGGGTTAGATTGAAGGGACCAAATAACACCAGAACATTATGAAATAAAACTACAAGTGAGAACAGAAATAAAATCAGAAAAAATACAAATAATAACAACTAGGATGACATAAAACTAGCCTTGTTTGATGCTCGGGACACAGTCAGGACACCCGAGTTACTCTAGCAGATATGATCGTACAGTTCGAATATTCGGTCAGTGCCAAGGCACTTCAATAGCCGACTAGGCATAGATGCCCCAACAGTCGAAGGAGTAAGTTAGCGGGTGTAGGTTTCTGATACAGCTCTGGATCTCACCCAAATCCTCAAGGATATTTTAGAAAGGCTAGAGGGGTGTGTGAGCTTGAATATGCAGAACCCTTAGATGCACCATGATGCTTATCCAAATATTAGATCAATATTTCCATGTCTTCATACCTATTCCTCTAGCATGCACATTTAGTGAATACATGTAGTGTAATATAGTTATTAGTGAGACACTGAACTCGTAAGCTTAGCATTCGAAATGTATTTTCTTGTGCAGATTCTTAGGAGGCCATTTGTGGAGAGTTATCGTCAAAAGATATTCCATCATACAAAAGCATTAGAGTACATCTTGATTTGTATTAAAAGGCATGTACTATTGTATACCATTTTGTAATCAATCATAACTCTATTTTGATTTAAACTCAGTGTATTTATTTTGGATGTTTTGGGAGCTCCCCAATACTTGTAAACTCATATTTATTGTGACTTTTATTTTATCACTATGGATGGATTATTCTATATAATTACAGTTGTTTTTAAAATAAAATTTTTAGGTTAGCCACTCGGTGGTCTTGTGTGACATCGTAATCCATGGATCTTCAGGTCAGATTAGATTACGGTATTACATATCAAAACTTGGTGTATCACAAAAGACTCTCTCAACATCCATACAAAACTTATTTCTATAATATAAACCCTAAAATTTACGTAGACTACAAAATAATTACATCTCTCTAAAATAATTTTCTCTCATAATTTTTAAGGCAAAGACTTATTCTCTATTTGTAAAGTCAAATACTTAGTCAACAAATCTTTTTCTTATCAGCAAATATCTTCATACCCTTGTGTGCAAACACCTTGCTTCCTTGATGTTCAGTAAAAAAACCAGCCCCACTCGCAAACTTGAATCTCATATCACTTGTCATGAGATTAAAGTTGAAACTAGAAAGTCGTACATTCTTAAACACCAAGACATGAATTGTGTGCCTAAGTCAACCTTTAATATGGATGAATAATGCCCAAAATGCACTAAGTTGACTCGGGAAAGGTATAACAGATTGAATGGGTAAAAATAGAATGAGAAAGTTTATAATGGGAAGACAATAAGAAATATTTAAGTCTATGTTCATTTTATTTGTTCAAAAATAAGTCATGACTATTGAGGTAGGAAAAATCTCTATCTATAGTCGAGTCTCTTACCAATCGGTGGTGTTCTAATTAGACATAAACTTCATTTACTTCTTCAATTAGGATTAAAAAAATCTATTCATAAGGTTAAATCCTAATATAATTCAAAATCTATTTTTTATTCTTGAATCCTAATTTGATTAGGTTTTTATTTTACTTAATAAATTGAGTCTCTCGAAGATGAACCTTGAATAACAACAATCACAAATAGGTTTTGGAGGATATTTATATTTTGGTGTGTTGCTCGAAACTCCTTGAACATCCGAGTATTAAACCTTGATTTGTGATCCGTAATCATTTATTTTAATAGAAAAGGGCTGGCTGTAGTGAACCATAGCCAAGTCCAACAGCTGTAGCTCGGCTCGGGTTAGCTCTATCCAGCTAAGCCTAACTAAATACTTCACGAGCCCTTTGTGCGTTACTTTAAAATCAGCAGCATCCCCAGTTTTTAAGAGCCGCAAAGCGCGTACTCTCACGTGCCTATCACCTACAAATTATACTTCACCTCTTTACCCACTCCCGGAATTCCAGCTTCTTCCCAGCCTGTCTTTTCTAGTAACCTTTATCAGCTTCCCTATTTTACCCACCAAAAATATTCTCGTTTGATTTTACACACCATAAAGAGGAGGTTGTTTAGGTCAATTTCACTTATCCGTCTGCTTCTCTGCAGTTTCCTTAAGTCACCTAATCCAAAAGCCCCTTCTTTTGATTAAATAAAATATAATTTAAATTTCGATAGAATAGCTTTTTTGGAGGTCTTTATATACCCTTTTCCACTCTGCCAATATCACCACTCAAAACTGCAAGCTTTCTCCTCCGTGAAACTCAAAGCATTGGTCGGAAATGTCTTCTTTTATCCCTCAAACTATATTAAAATTATTCATTGTAGTCTCCTTGTTTCAATTTTCGTTGGCCGTTCGAAGGCTGACTGAACTGGTTCAAGACCAACCGGAGCTCTTGAAATACCACGACGGCCCTCTCCTTACAGGCCGAATCACAATCAACCTGATTTGGTACGGCAACTTCAAGCCTTCCGAGAGGGCCATCATCTCCGATTTCGTAACCTCACTTTCGTCCAAGCCTTCACCGTCTCAAGAAACCCAACCCACGGTGGGTCACTGGTGGAGCACCGCCGAGAAATACTACCATCTTGATTCTAGAAAACCGTCTCTTTCTCTGTCTTTGGGAAAACAGATTCTCGACGAACATTGTTCCCTCGGGAAGTCACTCAAGGACAAACAGATCATCGGGTTGGCCTCCAAGGGAGACCAAAAGGATGCTATTAATGTCGTTTTGACGGCATCCGATGTTACCGTCGAAGGGTTTTGCATGAACCAGTGTGGAACTCACGGTCACGTCACAGGCAAACTGTTCTCCAAATTTGCTTACATTTGGGTCGGGAATTCCCAGACGCAGTGCCCTGGGCAATGCGCTTGGCCATTCTACCGACCAATCTACGGACCGCAGTCCCCACCTTTGATTGCACCGAACGACAATGTGGGCCTTGATGGTATGGTCATCAACTTGGGTAGCCTCTTTGCCGGAACCGTAACGAATCCTTTCGGAAATGGTTACTTCCAGGGACAGGCCGAAGCGCCATTGGAAGCTTCGTCGGCTTGTCCAGGAATTTATGGCAAAGGGGCTTATCCGGGATATGCCGGAAAGTTACTTGTGGACTCTTCAACTGGTGCTAGCTACAATGCTAATGGTGAACATGGAAGGAAATACTTGCTTCCTGCTTTGTATGATCCTGCTACATTATCTTGCAAAACGCTGGTCTAAACTTTTGAAGTCTAAACTTTTGAAGCAATAGAAGCTGGTGTATCATGTATGCACATACCTATATCTCAGTATGCATTGGACATAAACTTTGAATAAAAATATTTGAAAAAAAAAAGAAAAATAAAAACAATATGGGATTACTGTTGGGAGAAGGTTTATTTATATGGATGTAATTCTTTTATTTATTTTGCTTATTGGATCATAATAGAACAGCAAACTCCTTTGGTTTGCATATTTAACATGCGACTCTTTTTTACTTTCATTTTTTTAAAGAAAGCTTTTTTTTTTTCAAGTTTTATCCTCGTGAATATTAAATTAATTTATCTTAAGGTGTAATATACAAATAATTATTAAATTACATTAAAATTATATTTTTAATCAATTTTTTTTAAAATTATAAAATAATCATTAATGTTTATTAAACTGTTATAAAATAGTTACTGCATATTATGAAATATTGATAAATTAAGGAAATTTTTTGAAAATTTAATAAATTTAATTACATTTTATAATAATCTGATAAAGTTTAATAATTATTTTGTAGTCGTATACAAAATTTAATAATTAATTTATAATTTTAAAAATCTTAATAATGAAAATTCATTTTAATATAATTTAATGATTATTGTGTACTTTTTAACATTTATCTAGTATTAAGGTAAAACCCTCAAATTTATTATGTTCATAAACCGATTAGCCAACGTTGCAAATGGAATGAAATTAATAATACAAGTGGTCCTTTTTGAATGCTATCAGCAGACAAAGTTGGAAGCTTCTATGCTGCATGTGAGTGGTATGGTTGATCTTGGGGGTTTATTAATGGTTTGGGACAACACTTTGTTTTCAAATGGTATTATTTGTTTTTATCTGATTTTACCAGTGCCGTTGGTTTCCTTATCACGAATATTAATGAATTTATAATTTTAATTTATATCTTTGAACACGTTATATACAAGGGTGTTCAATCAGTCGATTTAGTAATCGAACTTAACAATCAAAATTTCATTAATTGAATTTTTTTCCTTTAATCGATTCAAAAACTTTTAATTGATTGAATAAAGTTTAGTTAATTCGATAGGTTAACCGAATTAACTGAAATATATAAATATTATAAATTATATATTAAATATTTCATAATTTTAGCTAATTCAGTTAGTTAATTTGATTAAAAATCGAAGTTTAAACACTCCAAAGATTAAGTAATATATAAATAATATATTAAATATTTAAAATTTTAGTTAATTTAATTAAATAATCGATTTTGAATTGAATTAACCAATAACCGAAGTTAAAAAAACATTAACTGCTAACCAGTCAAATCTAAAATTAATCGATTGATTAACCGATTTTTTTATTCGACCCATTAATTTTGTTAAAACCGAAATATGAAAACCCTAATTATACGATATATTCCTATTTAATGTACTTGAATAATATATGATTTTATGGGGTACTTTTATCGATTTTTGAGTTTTTCTATATACTTAAAATATTAAAATCCTATAATTTATGTTCGAATATATGTTTGAAGAAAAAAATTAAATTTTTAATACGTTTAACGATCATTTATCAATATTTAAGTGTTGAATTTTCTCCTAAACACTTATTTATTTATTCATGAATATTGCAGTACCTTTTTTTTAACATCATATGGCTTTATAATTTTCACTCATGCAGTTACATAAGAGATTACACCCAAACGACCTTACTGTTTATCAACTTACGGTTACAACAACTTACATTTCCATTAAGGTTCGCCCTACTTCCTTCTGGTTTTTCCTCACTGTTCATCTGCACGTTCATACTCTGTTGAAACAAAAAAAGGTAAGACAGCCAAAGGTTTAGTAAAATCATCCGCCCGGTGACGTTTCGTAGGAATATAGTTGACCTGAAGGTCATCAATCGCTATTCTTCCGAGAACAAAATGAAGGTCCAACTCCACTTATTTTGAGCTTGCATGATAAACTGGATTCGCACTCATAACCACAATACTCCTATTGTCGCTTCATACCATAAGAGCTTCAGACAATGAGATGCCCATGTCATTCAACGATGTCGCGGTATTCAGCTTCTATGTTGGATCAAGAGATAGACCGTTGACGTTGAGACTTTCAGGGCACCAAATTATCTCCTAAATACAGTCTATAACCTGACATATATCGCCTATCATGAACATTTTTGGCCCAGTTACATCAGCAAACCCCACCAGTCGATCACCACTCGATAATGCACGAAACATTAATCCAAGAATAAACGTACCACTGAGATAACAAAGAATCCTCTTTACAGCCACCCAATGAAGCATGAACGAACGATGCATATACTAAGCAACGTGATTCACACTAAAAGAGAGATCCAAACGAGTGTGACTTAACTATAAGTCCCCTACAACTGTATGATAGCCATGGGCATCCTCAAGTAACAGACCAGCATCATTACTAATTAAGTTTTGGGGAAAACTATTTGTGTTGGAACCAGACTAGCTCCCCTCATATTCACCCTATCAAGCAACTTCAAAATAAGCGAAGCACAATGAATTCATTAGTACGATTAACTTCAAGCCCTGGAAAGTAATTTAATTATCATAGATCCTTCAAAGAAAATCATTATCCCAATAGACGTACCAAATTTTTGATCTCATCATTGTCCTCTCAAGTGATAACAATATCGTCAACATACACTGGCACATAAACAAACCGACCATTCACTTGTCGAATGAACAAACAAAGATGTATCATCATGTGTTCCTTTAAACCAAACTTCAACTAAAAATCACAAATTTTAGTATATCTGTTGTGAAATGCTTGCTTGAGATCATACATCGCCTTTTCAAGCTTGCAAACCAACTTAAACCCCTTGGACTCAACCTGCTCAAACCTTGGAGGTTTTACCACAAAGACCTCATCACGCAAGTGACCATTATGGAAAATGTTGTTAACATCATGTCGTAGCTTCCACCCATGTACAACACCTAGTGAAAGAATGATGTCGACTCGGGTTTACTCAAATCAAACTCAAACATGACTCGATACTTGAAAGAGTTGAGTCGAAAAATGTTTAACTTGACTCATAAAATATCGAGTAGCTTGTCAATTTTTTTTAAAATAATATTTTAGTTGTTATTTTAAAATTATTTCATTAAAAATTAAATAATAATTACTAATTTGTTAATAAATAATTAAAATGGTATATTACTAATCTATTAATTTTTGATAAACAATAAAAAATTATTAATTAATAAATATTATTTTACTACACCAAAAAAAAACCCTAATTATCCAACTTCACTCTTCAACCCCTGCCTTCTCACATCTTATATACTCAACAGTAATGACATGTTTGTTTACCTTTCTTGTCATTCATTACATTTTATTTAAATTTTGTATTTTTTTTCTTTTAGTTTAGTTTAGTTTTAAAAAAAATTCCCTTCATTCTCATTTGAGTGCATTTTCTTTGTTTTGGCGTGTTAAAATTAATTTGGTTTGAAGCTATCAGTTATTCTGTTTTGAATTTAGGATCGTTTATCAACAATTGTTTCATGCATTTTCTAATTCTTCATTAACTAGTTCTCAATTCTTATACTACTATAACATAAAAGATATTATCATATTTAGCTTTAGGTTTAGCATGAATATATACTGTTATGTGATTGAAATTATTTTAATATATAGATTGGTGAAAACATTTATGGTGAACTTTCTACATTTAGACATCATTCCCTATTGATCTGACAAACGATAGTAGCAGTTATTATATAACTTTGATAGAATGTGATGTTAATAAAGACATCATGCATGAAAATTTACATTTTAGCTCCATAATGCAATTTAATATTTGATAAGTTTTTAAATTTAGTTAAAGTTTATTTGAGGAATCTTCATTGTATTAAGTTCGTTATCAGTTTTATTAGATGTCCACATTGCAAACTCAATTTGAAACTTGTATTATCCTCATTAATCGTGAAAGTATATGTTTCTTTTATTTTATTATGTTTTAATATTTTATGTTGATATTTTGATTAAATATGAACAAATGCTTTTAGTGCCCTCATTCTTTTTCTAAAATCTCGTGGTTGAGGAATTTAATGTGAATATTGATGATGATGATATAAATGATAAGGTAAAAAAATTGAATCAAGAAATATATTCAAATAACACTCAATGAACCACGTGGAAAAATAATTCTTATGTTCCTCCAAGTGGTCCTTTTAAAAGAGAAAGGTAATTTTAAGTTTAGTCCCTGACTTGATCATCTCATAAGAGTTTAGGGTTCCTAATTTTGAAAAATATGATGGTGCTAGTTGACCTCTGATCCATTTGAAGATGTTCTGCAGGAAGATGGAAGGATATTTAGATGATGATAATTTATTGATCCATTACTTCCACGATAGTCGTATTGGACCTATTGTAGTATGTCATAATCGATTAAGAAAATACTAAATCAGGTCATGGGTCGATCTGGCTAATGCTTTTTTTTAGAGAAATATAATTATGTCAAGGGCTTAGGTCGAAATCGTCAAGATCTCCAGAAAATAAAGATGGAAACTATAGAAAGCTTTAAAGAATTTACACTTAGATGGAGAGGCTTAACAACTCAAGTTTAACCTTCTATGCTAAAGGAAAAAATATCATACATGTTTCATAGCACCCTCCCAGCTCATTTCTTTGAGTTAATGCTTGCAAATTCAATAAATGACTTCGAAGATCTTGTGATAAGTGGGGAGAAAATACAAAATGTGATTAGCAAAGGAAACTTGAAGGCCGCCTCCAAAAGTCCAATTGACCAAAAATTAAAAGATGGCGAGGTGAATGAATGTCATTTCCAGAGCCCTCATGGTTATATTAGAAAAGAGCAATCTATTCACTCTAATCGGCCACAAAAGATTCCTTGAGTAAGAAAGGCTGTAGAAGTGTTCTAAACACCTATCTCACTTTTTTCCCTATTTGATTAATGGTTAATACCTTACTCCAATACCAATAAAAGTGATACCAAACCCTTCTGCTCATAGCTATGATAAAAATAGTGTTTGAGATTTCCACATAAGAGTACCAGGGTATTCTATAGGGAACTTTGGGACATTGATGAAAGAGATAGAAATACTCGTTAACAATGGGGCACTAACTCAAGAATTGGTGAGTAGTGGATGGCTAACCCA